TAGACGTTGATCGATGTCTTCTTTCGATGGAATAACTGATTGGAAAAATATTTTTCATTATACAATACACATAGAATACATAATATGCACAGTAAATAAATCACAGTAAATGAATCACAGTACATAAGAAAATAAATATCGAAGCCAATGGTTCTCGAACATCTGTAACATACAAGGGATTAGTAACAAGAGAGGGGACACAACAATATGCACAGTAAATAGATTAATAATATGCATAGTAAATAAATCACAGTATAGAAATCACAGTAAATAAATCACAGTACATAAGAAGATAAATATCGAAGCCAATGGTTCTCGAACATCTGTAACATACAAGGGATTACTAACAAGAGAAGGGACACAACAATATGCACAGTAAATAAATTGATGGTTGTCGAATGCCTGCAACAAACAATGGGTTAGGAACAAGAGAAAGGACGAGTTGACACGCGCCCACCCTCCACGACGGCTCACGAGAAAGTAAGCAAGCACGGGATGGTACGACCTTGGTACTTGGTACACGGCGTACACGGTCAAGTCAATAAACTGGGTGATGCAACTCACTAGCGCGTTGGACCGACGGAGAGCACCGATACCGCGGCACGCTCTACCGTACTCTCTCGCTCGCACTCCTCCCCCCATAGACCGCCGAAATTCTTGGGCACGCGACAACACCGAAGGAGAGCACCGATACCGCGATTCGCTCTATCGCTCTCGCTCGCACGCCGTAACGTCACCCGATTCCTGGAATCCCGCGGTTACGAGATGGCTCATTACGGTAAGGCACTCCCGCAAGGGAAATTGTAAACCGCCGGCCAAAAGGTAGATTTAATAAATTATTTATGAAACTACATCTATTCTGAATTTATCTGTTACAAATATACAAATGTAAAGCAAGATATGAAAACGAATAAAACAAGAACATGTAAAAAGTAACATTACTAAATGCCATTAACGATGCATTTAGAATAAATTGTCTTGTAGTTAAGTGAAAAAATATATACTTTTCCGTTTCATGTTTCATGACTTATATTTATCCGTTAACCTTAAACTGAAGCATCGGATATTTTTATTCTCGTGAAATCATATAGATACACGTAATATGAATGGAATATATAACACTTCATTTGTGCTAATAATACTCAGAATTCATGCTTTATCGGTAACGTCGGGTATTGACACTTAAATGGTAACAGGGCTACGTAGCCCTATGATCGTAGGACAGAAAAAAGCATTGGATGATAGGTCTATTCTATACCTAGTCGGTGATTTTAGTAAATCCTCGATTTTGCAGTTTTCCCGCGCTTTTTCAAATTCAAATTTCGCGCTAAATTGAACTTCAAATTTATTTTAATGCAATTTTAACTAAGTTTACCAATTATCGTTTATTTATTTATGGAAAATATGAGGTAGTCGTATTGATAGGCTTAATAAACAACACATGTGTACCAGTTAACTGTTTTTACTGAGAAAATCTGAAGAAAATACACAATTTACAATAGGATTTGAATACATTTCACAACAATTGCCTCAGATACTACTTATATTACGAGTTTACAATATATTTGTAACAATATGTGCATAAATTCAGTAAACATAGCTTAAATATTATTCAGACTTATAACAATAAAAATAATTCCCTCTTCTGTATCTTGTAAATCTTCCGTACGTATGTTCAAAACTTCATGTGTAATAGTTTAATACGTTTGTCGTCGAAATTTTCATTCTTGGGGACATACGATAGATGTCGGACTCCTGTGAAGGGGTTGCGAGGCAGGACATATTTGTGTGTGAAGTAATTTATAGATAGGCCCTCTCACTCACACATTTCACTGAGTTGCCCATCAGTGCCCTAGGATATCATATCTCCACTCTTACACTCAATATAATAATGAGTTTTAAATTTAATATTATAGATACACCAAGTAGGTGAACAGCACGCGCAATATTGGAAAAATTGAGTCGTTTTAAGGGTTTCTAGATGTTTTATTATATTTTTATAATACCTATTCAAAGTTACGTACTTTATACAAGATTTTTTATATGTATGCATGTCTCGGGCACGTTCAGCAGACATTAAACGAGAGTTACATTTCTGGATGAAATTTTTAAACTCGAGTAAAATGCAAGGATACACTTTTACAAGCGAAGAAGGCACAAATACAACCATGTGTTCTATGTATACATTCAATGAAGTATGGTCATACAAATAAAAAATCCGAACCTACTTCGAAACCCAGATAGGACATGACGTCTAGTGACACTTTGAAGACGACTTAAAGGCGCCTTAAAACTTAAAACAGCCGTAAAATGGAAAGCCTTAACAGCGTCATGTGCTATCTGGGAATATACTTTAAAAAGTAGAAAATAATTTATATTTTTTATTATTTACACAGAACATTTTTCAAAGGGAAGCACTACCGAAACATTCTGTACAACATGCAAAAGGTTTCATCTGAATTGGTTCGTTCGTTGCAGGGTAATCGCTGAATATACATTAAAAAAACATACGTATGTGTCGTATTGTATACCTTCTCCTTTTCGAAGTCAGTCAAAAAGTAATTTATATTTATTGCAATTGATATATTAGAAGATATTTATTATTATTTGTACTGCCTTCGTGGCAACAAGTTTCATATACATACATATATGTTTCTATACAACGAAAATGCTGATCCTGTTGAAAAATTACGAATAACGTGTAATTGAGTACTAATACAAAGAATATATGTATACTAAAAAGCTATAGTATTTGGCAATGTTCGAGTACATAAATGCGAATATAATGTAAACAAAATTATAAGAAAATAAAGTTACAATTATGTAAGACGTTCTTCCAGTACATTTTCATGTTTGTTGTGACAAATATTTTTTAATCACATTATCAATGAACCAATTCTCCGTAAACTGTAAATGGTTTCCGGGAACGGAAATAAGGTGGATTTTTCCTAATTTGTGCAGTGCTTGTAATCCCAAGCGATCCTAAAAGAATTGTACTTTGTTAATTTTTTTTATCAAAAATCTGATAATAAAAGGGAGACAAAAATATAGTAGGTATCTATTAAATCATTATATGATAGTTTGACTCCAATACATTTGGACATAGTTAAATTACTCATTTCATACCTCACGATATAAGTCAGTTTCTTCAAGAGTTTGAATTTGTTTTTCTTGTCCAGGTGCATAGAATCCAAACCATTCGGTTTCTTGTGGCGAAACTATAGTATCGTTAACAAATTTTACTAACACCATGTTTTCAAGTTTTTTGAGACTGTCTTTATAAGTCTGAAATAAAATTCGAAGATTTGTAGTTATGATATTAAACAATTAACATTTTTACAGAGGATAGTTTTATAAACAAAAGTAATAGGTTAGCTAACTGACAATAGCGTACTAACGCTTTCCTCTTACATGTTTAACATTTTTTGAAATATAAAGTAGTATAGAAGGTGTTAACACATGTCTGAGACATTTTCATAAGGTGGATTCTACATGCCAACCCTGCTGCAACTGTCAGTTAGAACCGCATTGAACTTTGAACCTGGTTCAATGCAGTTCTATCTGAAGAATCCGGTTCAAAGAGGATATCCAAATCGATGGATGAAACAAGATTTGAAGGTAAAAAATTCATTGGCTTCTATTAGAAATTGCCACTTGTATAAAACCGATAGGTTGGTATCAGGAATTGCGAATAAAAAATCTCACGGTTTCAATTGGGATATGCAACAAACTTATTGAGTCCGTGTTGCCTGGGTTTTTGGTAGCGGCCGCTAGGTGACGAGTTTTCTCGCAAGCGGTAATTAGAGCCTTTGGCTACTTATAGGGCTCCGCCGAGGAGCAACCCAAGCATCTGGGGTAGGGGTCGTCTACCGCCAGCCCCACAGACGAAACGCCATCTTTTTGATCTGCCTACAGATTCAGAAGTAGGATAAAGGCCCCCAGTCGCTCGTTGTCTGATATGACCTCCTCGAGCTGGGTGCGTGTCATTTTTTGTGTATTGGACCGAGGAGGTTCATGATTATTAGAATCGCTCTGTTCTCTGATATGACGTCCTCGAGCACTGATGAGTCTTGGTAGACGATTTGTGGTGCTAGTGAGGCTTTGCACGTACCGTCTTGATTGAGTGACAACAAGATTTAGGTAAAAAGAAACCAGCGTTCTATGAAAACACGTGCTTTGCATAAGTGCAACGAACGAACCGTCGTGCAGTTTTACTGAAGCCCGGGCTCCCGTAATTTACTGCCAGGATACCCATTGCTTTGAGATAAAAAACAAAAAATACGTTTTCCTCGAGAAGCAGGAAAAAAAATTTCACGGACACATGTTGAGTTAACGCTGCTTGGCTCTGTCCGAGCACCTTAGCAGAGGCCGGAGCGGACTTTTCTATACCGATGCAATGGGTACGTTCGTGGTCCTCTTCTCTTCGGACCCTTTTAAACCGATACACGTAATGTCTGCTTTCTATCTCGAAGCAATGGGCATCCTGACAGTAAATTAACGGAACCTGCGCTTCAGTAAAACTACACAACGGTTCGTTCGTTGCATTTATGCAAAGCACGTGTTTTCCTAAAACGCTAGTTTCTTTTTACCTAAATCTTGTTGTCCCGCTGAGAGTGAACTCAGAATTTAACAATGAGAACTACTTGGGGGTAGAGAAAGCCCTTTCGGAAAAATTTTGTCAGTCGGTTAGCAATCGGGCGACACAGATGTTCAGTTCACGGGAGTATTACGCAATGCTCTGGTGATACACACAGAATAACGGATATGCGCCTGCTGCTGTGCAAGCGTTTGGCTACGTGAAACATCTGATAAATTGAAAACAATCGGCCAGTGTCAAGACCACTCATTTGCCTAACGTAGAAACAACACGTTCGATTAAAAATACATTAAGTGATTGTGTCGGGTGATCAGTGTTAGTGGTCGTGCAGTGAAGTGAATAGATGGATAGTGAATAGATCACACGTGGGTGTGAGGTATACCTGCGATCACCTGCAGACTGGGCGATACCCCGCCCTAAACCGTTTCAGCCGTCGATGACCAGGATCGGTACAGTGACCTACTGACACAGGTCTACAAGCTCGAGGTGAATTTCCGAAAGGGTGAGTTCTAATCAATTGATTGCTAATTATTATTTTTTTAACTTAACGCAAGGTATGACTTATTTCTGATCATACTTCTGCAAGTTTCTGTACCTAAATTTTTCTTCGGGCTTTTTAAAGAAACTTATTCATTATCAGTAACATTGTTGCCCGTTATTAAACTACGGATTTTTATCTCAATAACGAACTACGATCACCTCTGGTTTATTTTCTGTTACATTACCTTTTCGTTAATACGTTATTTGAAAAAGGAATTTACAAATTCTTTAACCTTTTTCTTCAAATAATTATTGGTTTCCATTCTGTTTAAAAAAGTAACTGTGTATTCGTCTTTTTACGTTACACATAATATTCCTACTAAATAAACGAAAGATGATAAAAAGTATGATTTTATTTGTTTCGTCTTTTTTATTTGCTATTATACGCAGTTTTCTTGCATGCATGCCGACTTGCTTGTTCGGAACTTCATAGTACAAGTGTAGCGCGTAGTCACCGCTGGCGCGGGAACTCGGCTGGCAAATTGGCGTTCTGATTGGTCGGGGTTTCTCGTTAATATCTCGTTAATAAAGCCTCGGATAACATTTTCGCTAAGGAAAAAGTTGTTTCAAATAATCCTAGGAACCCCTCATTTCCGGGAAGAGAGACATTTTTGAAACACCCACTCTTATCCTACAAGCACTGCAGACTAGTAATTCTTTACATAATATTCCAAAAATTTCTGTGTTCATTTGTTACTAACAATAAGTGAGGTCACAAATGATTTCTATCCCATGTCGTTTATAATTATTAAGTAGCAGTTTTTCCATCACTTACTTTATTTTTAACATAAACCAGTATAAACTACGCGAATAAAATCACTATGTATACAAAAACTAATAAGTTCATTAATCTTGATTGCAATTTTCATTTTGTTATATGCATAAAATTCTGTGTCTATTAATAACATACCTGATTTATATGAAGTTCGTTGTTAATATCAGACAGGAATGTACTTTTATGCTTGTATTCTTCTTCTTGATATGGATCGTGCCAGTAAGTAGCTTGAATAAACTTCTCCTGGACAAACCTAACATAAAACAAAGTAAGTTGGACTATAGCTAAACACGAAATATACAGAGTATTAGTAGCAATATGTAACATTTTCCAGGGTGGACTCTACATGCCAAACTAACAACGGAACATATCGAACCCAGACACGCCGATTTTGATGCCCTCTATATGGAATATAGTTTGCGAAAAAATATTTGACACGTATTTTTTTATATGAGCCATTGTCCATACTGAAGGGGTGAAAACAGCCCTCAAAGTTGGAGGTTGAAAACATATTTTTCGAAATATCTCGGGAACTAGAGCAGTGATGGGCAACCGCGGCCGCTCGGGCACATTGCCTGTACGGGCAAGCGGCGGGCAGCCGCGGGCTCCTGTGGAGCGGATGCGAGACAAGAAACGTCACTTGTATATGAAGTGAGTTATAGATACGCGCTCTCACTTACACATTTCCCCCACCACTGCCATGTGCCCGCACGCTGCACACCGTTGACCGCCAGTGAGTTTGGCAGACGCTGAATTGCTCATCACTGAACTAGAGGGTATGGATACAAATTTTTTTTTGTAAATGGTGTGTTTTTTCATGGGGAATGTAATCATCTAAACGTTCTTTTTTAATTTATTTTGTGTAATATATTATTTAAACAAACGACAAGACTTTATTTCACACGCTCTTCTTAACTGATCGAGCACGACTCTTTGTGCACTGACCAGCGCCTCCACTTATCTCTCATGGACATAGGAATAAGGGGACGGCGTGTAAGCTCAGCTTATGAGCAAGGGCAATGAAGCCTATTTCAGGGGGAAGGGGGGAGAGGTACCAAAGTGTGTCTAAATTTGATTGGTTGCATTTCTGCGCATGCTCGGTACCACGAATTGTGAAAGTGATAATCACAAATTAATATGTCTAAGTTAACATTAAATAAGTGATTCTTAATAAACCGTTCACAGTTCAACGTGATTAATTCTACTTTTTTAACATTTTATACCTTGTATATTCAAAATTAAATCTTAATTTTTCATTTTGTGAAGTTAATCGATTTGGCGAATGGACGGCTCATTATGAATTGGAATTATGAAAATTGGAGGAAAATATGCAAGTTCAATTATTAAAATAAATAAGATGAATTAAATTGGAAATATTCATTTGAAATCATTTATTGTTCTAAATAATACCTTACGACGCTACGAAAATATCTACCAAATTACCACGTCTTTTACAACACGTTCCCCCGCGAGCAAGCTCGGTTTCCGCTAGGGAAAAAAGTGGTGTAAAGAAAAGATCTCCTACCACTTGGTCTTGGAGTTATTGAAAATTATGCGAAATTAACATTCGGTTTAACATTTATTTTAGTATTTGAAATAAAATCAAGCAGTAGGAGGCCCTAAACCCTACATTGCTTTTCCCCTAGAAGAAACCGAGTTCGCACGTTAGTGTTCATCACTCGTCGCGTTACTGCGCATGTGCAAGGCAGCAGCCAATAGAAATTAGGCACACTTTTACCTCATCGTCCCTCCTGCAAAAGTATGCTCGAACCTATATTCCTATGTCTATGTTTTATGCCGATACTTCTGCATCAACGCTGGGCAAACTTCATTCCCCGGGGCTAAATGCCGTCCCCACTATTGCCCGTCGTTACCATGAGCTAACAGGGACTAGAGTCTGAGCTTCTTTGTCTACGAAAGTACACAGCGCAAAAGAAAGATTGGAAGGGGAAGCAGGCGAATGAGGGGTCCCTATGCTGCCCAGAGCTGTTTTACACAGTATACGCTAAAGAATCTCTTCAAGAGGTCATTTGAAACTGTTGTTATCTAGCTATGTATTAAAAGCAAGTACATTTACCTCATCATTGTCGGTTCATCACACTGTTCATAGCTAATTTACTTATTTTTTATATAAAACTGTATAATTCAGTGTTCAAACAATAGTCATTCTATTATTTTTATGTGACAAAAAGTATTTTCCAACGAATAGATAAATGAAAATATGTACTAAGGAGTTATAAATACCGTAAGTACGCTCCATATCTGATCACTCGTGTCATGTGGTTACAAACGTTGTGTTCCAAACTGGCACAGTTCGGTAATCCAAAAACACCTTGATGCTGACCACCCAAAGAAATAAAATTTTTAATTGGTATGTGAGGGCACCTTTGAATCACAGCTCTCCTGTAATAGATTCACTTGTATACACATAACATATAAGTCCAAAATGCAAACAGGTCACAAAGCATTAACTGCATTTCTGACTGCACATACAGTGAACTCTCGCTATATTGCCACTACACATATTGCCACGCGAGGCACTTTTCACGCATACTTTCGAGCACACAAATTCGCTCCCCACCACGTTGCATACGCCAGCGTATCAGCACAATCCAGCTTTTGCGCTGTTACGAGACCGGGCTGTAGCAACGCGAGAGGCCGGCGAGTGTAGGTTTTCTAAGGAATATGGTATTAGTTTATTAGTAAGGTGCGCGGACGAATCTGACGCGAAGCCAGAGAGCCGCTAGGATGTTTAAAAGCGAGGACAATCCTGATGCGAAATAAGGGAGCCTCTAGAAATGGAGTCACTTGCAGACGAACCTGATGCGAAATTGGGGAGCCGCAGGAAGATGAAACTCGTGAACGAACCTGAAGTGAACGTTGCGTCGATTCACACTGGATCGACCGGTCGAATAATGAATTATCTGTTGAACTAATAAATCAAAATAAGTTTTGTGGATGCTTATAGTGGAGACATAACAGTACCTAATCAAAAGTATTTCAGTTCGAAGAAAATATTTTTTAACCATTTATGTTGTAATTGTTTTAAAGAAACGTAATTTTATAATAGTAAGGCACAATCGAAAAATTTGAAAACAAAACTGAGGATGTGGTACCTATTTGTCTTCTTCATGGAAAAATTTTTAAAAATGTGGAGACCTTTTAAAATTGGCCATATGGAAATTGACTGAAGTTAAGGCTACGTCGAAGCCCACCGAATCGAACGACCGAGCCGTAACGGCTAGCCTATGTAGTACCACACGGCTTGGTTGCCTTGCGGGGGGCGCGATTCACAGGGGTCACAACCGCGATGACCCCTCGCGCCGCCGGCAGGGCAACCAGGGCCGAGGGGGTGGTACTGGGAGTACCACCTCCTTTCACGGTCGACCCACGAGGAGACAGCATCGAGAAGTGACCTCTCGACGCTGTAGATAGGAGGTGGTGGGACGGCATTCAGCCCCTCCCCCCACCAAGGGGGTCCTTCCGCAAAGGCTAGAGGGAGGGCAAGGGCGGGGCTGGTCGCGGTGAATGGTCGAACAATCCTACGGCCGGCCGTCACGCCCGAGAGTGTCACCGAGGGGTTTTTAGCGGGTGAAACCGCGCATTGGCCGTCTCCGCCCCCAACGAAGGCGGTGCACCTTTATCAAGGTTTTTCTCCCGTAAAACAAAAAAAGATCCACACGGCTTGGTTGGTAGAGCCAGTGTAATTCGATGCAGCGTTCACTTCAATTAATTTTCATACGGCCAATTTTAAAGTGTCCATATTTTTGAACATATGTCCATAAACAAGGCAAATAGAGCTATATCCTTTGTTTTTCAAATGTTTAAATAGTTCCCCCGTATAAAAACAGTGCATTTATTTAAAACAATTGTAAATTAGACGGTTAAAAAATATTTTTTTTAACTGAAATAATTTCTATTCGGTACTCTTATGTCTCCACTGTAAATACCCGGAAGGCTCATTTCAATCAGTTTGTTAGTTCAACAGTTATGATTTATTGAAGAAAGGTTGGAACTATATTTCAAACAGCTGTAGAATCAACAATTTAAAAAATTTTCCGAAATCCTTTAAAATACGTTTATATATCACTATAGACTACAACATATCCAAGTGTCAAAAATGTCCGAAATGTTACTCTAAAAAGTGTCCAATTTCGTGTGGAATGTCCCAATAATCACTTAACAGTAGGGGTGTGCGGGTACCCCAAACTACGGGCTCGAAACGGGAAGGAAAGATTCGGGCGCATGGGTGTAGCCAGGTTATCAGTCAGGGGGGAAAAACTATTAACACTTTGACTGCCACAGTGAAAAAAGCCGTACGTAGCCAAACTATTTTGTTTTTAAAGTAATAAATCGTTGAAAATATATGCGCTTTATTAATAGAGGCTGTGGGTCGTGTTTCAAATTATACTGCAATATTAAATATTATGCAAAATTTCTATAACTATGAAAAAAGAAGGAGGCAAAATCCAATTATTTTCTTGCAGGGTGGGGCAAAAACCAACTCTTTCCGTCCAAGGGGCGAGGGGAGGCAAGTGCTCCCTCCTGCCCCCCATGGCTACGCCCATGTCGGGGTCAACGAATTCCCGTGCGTGAGCACTCTCATTTCCTCTCTGCATATAGTAAATAGTTGGAAATAAAATATTTATTGAAAATACGACCAAACTTTAGGGGTAGTACGTACATAAACTGAGCTCCCTGTGAGAACCCAATAGCGTTGAAACCATCTGTAAGACGTTGATCTTTCGATAATCGTTCACAAACTTCCGATATTTGTTGATTAACATTTCCAAAGTAACTATGTTCCACGTCCTAAAAAGTTATATTACAATTTTACTGAAGATAAGAATATTTCTATAACGCAGTATAAAAATGTTCTTATTTTTCATTATATCTTATTATTCATATAAGTCCGGGAAGAAGGGGAATTCGTCTGGGTCTTTAACGATCCATATCCTCTACGGAGGGATAATATTTTAAAAGGTGGTAGGGGACTTAAAAACGAAAAATTTCCAAGTATATTCTGGCTGTAAGGCGTTATTATATGACAGTAAATCAGACATTGTATTATAGAACTTTTGTGTTCCATTTAACATTTCCTACCATCCTTTACAATATTGAAACGTTTACATTGGGTATTCAACTGCTATAAACTTTAAACATTAGACATATTGTCCATTACATTAAAATAAAGGAAAATGTGATGCATAACATTTACGTAACTATAAAATTTTATGAACAACCAAAGTTACAAATACTTAGTCACATAATTTAAATAGGTTAATATCATAAGACATTTAAAGGTTCACCTCTAGTTCATTATTTCCTAAACGGATAGAATAAACATAAACATCGGGCAATGTGTCTTCTATTAACTTTTTTATCGCTCCCAAACTAAATGAAAAGCAGCAGCTATCTCCTGAAATATAATCATGAATTCTAATTGATACAATATTATAAAATATAATAAAACAATAATTAATACTTCTTTTCTAGGTAACAAAAGTTTTACTTTAACGTACTATATCAACTGCTTTATTCGAAAGAGATATAAAGTCCACTTTTCTGTATTTCGAGGTTTTTAATGTTTTGCATTTCACCCTCTTTCCATATACTATTAGGCGCTAGTAAACTAGTTTGATGCTTTTAAGACTCCAAACGTGCTTAATTTTTTTAATTTTTATACATATCCTCTAAGTAATACAGTGTCCTTGTTAACCGCAAATGAACTTATACTACTATCAAAACTAATAAATTATCAAGAATGTGACTAATACAAAATTTTAATTTATAATCCAATTGAAGCAGACTTTTATGAAATGTAATTCTACAATATAAACAATAATAAATAATTATAATATAAATAATATATGTATATTACTAAATATAAAAATATATTCATTTGATATACACTTTTGAGAATTTTATTATAATAAATTTAATAAAGTTCAATCGTAAAGATACGGAATATTAATAACTTTTAGTCATATTGTATGCACTTTGCTCCGTAGAAATTCTCGTGAAGTATTCGTGGTGAACAAGGGTAGGTATATGAACATATGTACAGGGTGTAATAAAAATGTTGAAAGACCCAGAAATGGGAGACCCGCAAGGTGATTTGAAACAAGTCTTTCCTTAGCAAAAGTGTTATCTGAGGCTTTGTTAACGAGATATTAACAAAAACCCCCGACCAATCAGAGCGCGAGTCTGCCGGCCGATTTCCCGCGGTAACGTTGGCCACGTGCTGCACTTGTTAGCACCCTGTATATTAAAGAAAGTACGCACGTAATGTTACTTAATAGTAATAAAAAACTTTACCCATTCCATGCCACAGAACAACTGGAGGAACACTGTTGACACCATTAAATTTGCAAATGCATAAGAGAACGGGAAGCAGTAAAGTATATTTTCCCAGTGAAATCATTGTGCGATTCCTATAAAAATCAAAATTTTTGATTAAGTACAATTTATTAGTATTACAATTCTACATTATATGTTTTGAATTAAAATTCCAAAGAATTACTTTAATTACAAGTACAGAAACAAACTTTTGGACCACGTTGTAACACCTTATACGATACAGTAAAAGGTCCATGAAAGTTGGATAGGAAGTTCCTCGTAAGAGTTTCTATTTCATCCCCATCCAGGAGAGGGCGGGGCGTGGAACCTGTCAAGCATATAATTTATTGCCCCCCCCTCGCTGCTGTTCCAAGACTCTGATATCGGGAAAAAAACAGATTTGTGAGGTGTTGAAATGATTCGCAATGCACCGTGAAAATTTTAAAGCGTTCCGAGTTTCAAACTCTCATGGAGCCTTTACTGTACGTCCTAGAAAATCTAAACAAGCAGGAACTAACCCTCCGACAGTCGACTGTTCGCGCGGCCGCCGGCAGTTGTACCTAGGTGCGTATGGCATAGTTCCCTGACGACTCGCGAGTAGTGCGGACCTGTTTGTCAACAACTACAACTATCGAGTCCTGTCTAAGCGTCTCAAGTGAAGAATCTCTAGCTATCAAAGCGAATAGTGCTCCTGAGTATAAAAACATAGTGTGTGTTTACCTATCCCTACAAGAGGAATAGAGTGGGTAAACGCTCGCGCGGTTATCCCACGATTCTAGCATCACTGGAAGGAGATGCTGCAGGGAAGAATGCAGGAAAACTTGTTCTGTATTTGAAAATACCATTTTTGGAAACTCACACCTAACCATATGAACCTATATTATTTTAATATTGAAAATATTTGAATACACTTTGTGTTGAAAGTAATTACAATATTAAATGGTGATGAGTTGATACTCACTCCATTCGATACGAGTACTTTTTTTCGATACCTACTTGGTATCGCAACCGTACGTAACCAAAAGTACTCGGTATCGAAACAAAAGTATCGAGTAATATACTCGTATTTAATTGTATCGATTCATCCTTAACTAGCCTATAATTTTATAACACACATTGGACAAAATTTATCGCTTCGGAAATGGTGTGCCACTTACTGTTAATTGAAGATATAATCAGGGGGACGGAACTCCCGTGTTAACGAATCGAACAGTGTTTTTTGGCGCCGCCACAGTTAATCTGCGGAAATGGGATAACTAAAATTCAATATGGCGAACTGTGGCGGATGTTTCAAATAAAAGATGAATACTTACAAAGTTAGTCTGACGAATATTTTCTCATGATTTCTCATATTGTACAAATTCATGGAGAAAATATGAAAAATGTCTTTTTTTTTTTACATATTTTCCCAATGAAATCAGACAATATGAGATATTAGAAAATTTTCACCACAGATATAAGAAAATGTTTTATGTATTAGAAAGATCAATGGGTTATGAAAAATCTTATTTTGTCATTAAGGAAACTTATAAAAGGTGAAAGAAAAGATTGTATACCATTTATGTGGGATACTAAATGAATGTATTATATGAAATAACACAAATTTTCTCATTTCCCATAAGAAATGTATAAAACAAAGGACTTTGCTTATTTTTAATCATTTTTATTAGGTAATCATATATCTCCACTGTATGCACTCATAAAGTTAGTTTTGAACAGTTTATTAGTCCAACAGTTATGATTTACAGGAAATGACTTACACTATATTTCATACAATTATAAAATCAACAATTTAAAAAACTTTCGAACTTCCTTTACGATGTGTTTATATATCACTAAAGACTACAATATATCCAAGTTTGAACAAAACCCTGCAAAAGGTGTCCGATTTCGTGTGGAATGACCCGTACTGCTCTGCAAGAAACTCAATCATTGAATTCAATGCATATTGTATCAATTGTTTATCTACATAATATTAATAATTTAAGATTGTTAAACCATATTAACATAAAAGAGTTACTTACTTGGAAATTTGTATTCAATAAACAATAAGTTTTTCACTTTCTTCACACTATTCAAGCAACTGTATATAAGGCAACACGTGGATATACGAATGGCATCGTGGCGTCATGTACCACGTATACACTACCTGATACATGGTACGCCATATTGCAGTTTAGCCAGTTCTCCTATTTCCGCAGATTAACCAAGAGTAGGGATACAACAAGAGGCGACACTCCGAGCGGCACCTTTAATGTTACTCGATGCCTTGTCCTTTTAAATTGGTTGTACGGAGAAGCATGATTTTTGAAATGACTAAACTCAATGTATCTCTTTACGTCACCTTAACGGCTAACAATTAACAGTATATTTATGTTATTACTTTCTATGTATTACTAGTAATGGTTTCCTAAGTATTTATATCAACCTTATACAATTAACAAGTTAGGAAATAATAAATATAATTAAACATATTACGAATACATTACAGAAGTATATAATAAATATAAATATTTGTGTATGTTATTTATATTTATTACAAATAAATATGTTACAAGTACATTACAAAAATATTTGTTATGAACATTCTGAAATCTAAACAATTTCACAGCCATTGGCTCGGCATTGCCGTTTACCAGATCTCACCATATCCGTAGAAAAATGGATGGAATTTGGATTCCGTCAATGTCCCTTTACATCGTTTTACAAACATATATAATAGAAACCTGTGTACAGCAAGTGTTATAAATATAAATGTAGTACAATTACAAAATATTTACAAATTCATTGTAATACATAGTTTCCGATTTTTTTTACTATACTTTAAAAGATAATAAATTCGCAAACCAATAAATAATGTTAATAAATACTCTATGGGAAAATATTCACATAGATGTGTAAAACCCAGATCCATAATCATAATATAAATTACATTTTATTAACATTTCATTAACAAAAATTGTGCAATATCTATCTTTGCTATTCATATTGCTTACTTTTAATTTTAAAATTGAAAACAAATGATTACTAAAAGCCGTAAAAAATTGCAGTTTTCCTAGAGATCTTTCTAATACTCTTTCTAATACTTGAGGGAAGAACAAAAGTTTCTTGTAACTGGCAATTACATTTTGGGCTAACAAAATACAAAGACAATGCAAACTTTTGAAAATCTTCTGTATATCGTCTCCCTTGAATATTTCTACTGTTATGTGATACTTGAATACTAATAAAATTGGCTATTTCTAGAGACAAAAATTTCTTACACAAATTTTGAGAAGCCTGCTCACTAGATTGACTTACCCTGAGATTTTCAATCTCAGTTTTTAATTGCATGTTTTCATTTCGTAAAACTAACAGTTCTGCTTGCAGTTGCTGCTCCTTTGTTGTTCCCAGTAGCCTGTAACTGCTGATTGCACTGCCGCTTTGATGTTCCTCTTCTTCGATACAGATTCTTTTCGCTGGGGACTCTACATTGGAAACTTCATCATGGGTTTCTTCCTTCATATCTGTATCTAAAATGAAAATAAGGAATATATCATAAAAAAATTAATGTTTCTCTGATATACATACCTGGTTCAAATTTCTTTGAAACAGTCAGTGGTAATAATCTAGTTTTTGAAGGGCCCATGTACATGTGATTTTCAAAGTCCTTACTGCAAATTCTGTGGGTTTTGTAGTACCATTGGTACTCAGAAGTAGGAAGATCTTCTATATATATATATATATATATAAGTATTATTATTGCAAGAGATAAGTTTTCACTCTGTATTACTATTTCAGATATTTTTTAGATTTATAATACTTACACATTTTCATCCTTTAAAAATCTAAAAAAATGCAGTCTATCCCCCTCTTTGTAGTAGGTGCTCCTACAATTTTTATATGAGCATGAGACTCCACCTGATTTCCTGTTGTTCATTTTAATATATTTTTTACACTAACACTTAAAAATTGCACTTCTAATAATAAAAATAAATTAAAATAAATACTTAAAAATAAGCCGTTATAATAAAAATAAATAAAAATAAAGAATCACTTCTACACTTAATATTAAAAAAGAAAAAAAGATAAAGTGTTAAATTTCTCGTGAAATTCGTTGCTCAATACTTTCGGTTCTCCGAATGAACGAATGAACTTCGAATTCGAATGAGGAATAGTGGGCATTTAACTTGGTTGGAAGCATTTCGTCTCTCTCTAGAAGTGGTTTCTCTGTCAGGAGGGGGCATTTAAATTGGTTGTATCATTTCGTCTCTGTCGAAAAGTGGTTTTTTTTCTCTCTGAGTGCCGCCTCTTGTTGTATCGCTACTCTTTGGATTAACTATAGTGGCGCCAAAAACACTGTCACAATCGGTCCCATATAAGTGTCCAACCCCTGGATATAATGATATAAGTATACACAAATGTCAGCTCTGATCTAAAGCATTTGAAATTCTCCATTAGGTGGTGATAGTGAAAGAAAAATTCAAAGTCGTCACCGAGGCAATTTCTAGTTGAAGATTGATCAAAATACATGTAACTACACAACCACGCAAAAATGAAACACATTTATATAAAATACCATGACTGACTTTTATTTGTGTCTTATATTCATAATGTAATAATGAACGAATATACAATACACTTTTTACAGAGTTCATATTGAAAAGTGCATAGCATAGTTTTATTAACTTTATATGCATATTTCGTTGCTATGATTTTTAACAAACAATCTATGTATCGTACAATTTATATATGTGACAAGATACTTTGTTCGGACAAATTTATTTGCAATTAAAATTAGTTGTTATTATAACGTGTCTTCGTTATAGCGTTACGTAAGTAATGAGCAAATACTTAAATTAAATTAGAGTAAACGTTCTTATATTTATATGTTTAAAGATTGCATTTAGCAATTCATGAATGTCTTATATTATCTTCCAAATAAACATTATTAAAAACGTATGAAAACACAAGTGTCGCTGAAGAATTTACAGGCTTATTCTGAACCGCAGAACAAAATGGAAAGACCTATCGCTCGAGATCGCGAGTTTTTGCCGGTCAAGGAAATTGATGGGTAATCCACACTTTGTTTCGGAAATCCGTTTTCTTAACGCTTACTGAATTGCACAAGGGACGCGTACATACGAAAAATCGTGTAAATACCACGCGCAATAACTAATTAGGTAGAAATAATGTACAATCGTCTATTGTAAAAACGGAGTTGAGAAACCAACTCTTACAATTTGATATGCAGGAGTCATCTTTCACTCAATCATTGCTACATAAATGACCTCGGCCGGTTAAAACTCATGAATCAGAGTATAATAAACATGTGTCCAAAAACCTTTGAAGATACAGATACTTCAGCATGCATGTCTTGCAGTAGAGGCTACTTTGAAAACCCACTGTGTATTCATGTAATATCTACAGGTGTCTGTATCTTCAAATAAAAGTCTTGTGGACTTTCTTCTTAGTATTAAGATGCTTGCAAATTGTTCAACAGGATTTCGAAACATCCCGTATAAGATGCTCAATAACTGATGCTACATCTCAAAAGGTGATGACGGTAAGTAAAAAAAGGCAAGTTAAAAATAATACAATAAAAAATTGTGTTTTGATATTGGCTCAGTGCATCTACATTGGACTACAGTCTCAGTGGATGAATTTTATCAATGTATTTTGCTAGATACGACGAATTTATTTTATTTAGAACCCGTCTTGTCTTTACGTTAAGATTAGAAGAAAGATTTATTTTTATTGAGACATTTCTCCTATCAGAACTTTCGGGGCAATAAATTTTCAGCTTTATTTTAAAAAAATAGAGATATTTAATTAATCCCATATAATTGTCTCACATACTGTACCGATCGCATAAAGTTTATCTTTCTCATTTCGTCTTTCCCACGTTATAGCCGTGTCATAAAACCAATACTCTTTGAATAATACTGAAAATTTTTCACGTTTTTTGATCCTTCCATTTCAATATTATCTTAACACTAAAAATTCTACTTGAACGTACATAATCTCGACGAATATTTAAACCGAATATTCTCAAAAACAATGTTTCTTATAAATAAATGTTACAGTATATTTTTTATTTAATTTTCTATGCAAAATCAGCGGATTCGATTTGTAGCATCAGTTATTGATCACACTATAGAAGTAAAATATTATACCGTCAAATATGAAAACTTGCAAAGATGAAATAAATACCATTTTGCATGGAAAGTAAGAATTACAAAATTAGACGTACTTATTTCCTGTTCTCTTTTAATACAGCAAGTTTTTAACAGTAATATGTAACACAGTGGCGGTCAAAAGAAAGTTTACATTAGATTAAGATTATGGATCTTTTGTGATGCTAACATTGGAAAATAATAATTTCTTGAAGCTACCCTCAACATACGTATCTATGTTAATAGTATATCTAACAGGCTGTAATAAATATGAAAATTACAAGAACAAGACATTTCGTTCAAATCTATATCCACTAATTAATTTTATATGCTCACTTTTATTATAAACAAATAAAATACATATTTTATTATTTTTACATATGTTTCTAATATTCACATTATTTCGTAGAATTTTTACAATTGACAGTCGCTAAAAAATCTACTTTTTTTCTGCAAGTTATACTTGTTTTTGTTAGCGTATATTCTTTTTTCAAACTTTCTCATGACCATCACTGTATAATTTATTTTGTACGTTTAGTACTTCAAGTGTTGAAAAGTCGACGTCACAGTTTTAAGGCTCCCACAAACCAACGCGAAATATTCGCAGCGGCAGCGAATATATCGCGTTGATTTGTGGAAGCCTTTAAACAGCATTTTTCGTCGTGAACGCGTAAGTAGAACTATTGGTCGTGAACTATTTAAGTGTTCCAGGTAAAATATAAGAAAATGAATATTGTCTTTTTTAATGTTATATAGAAGTAAAAAGGTCTGCTGTACATCTCTGTGTTCGAAACGCAATCGTGGTCACTTAATCCGTGCAGTTACGACCAAAAACATTGTTCGAAATGTACCAAATATATAATTCGTATTCGTACTGTGTTACTAATTAGAACACGTCAGTTCATGTTAAAGAAATCGAGTGTATAGTTTTACAGTCAAGTCAGTTTCTTTGGTACGGAAAAATCTTTAATATCACGTTGATAGATACAACTAAAAGTATTCACATTGCCATAAGAAATTGGTATGCGCAACCTATTTTCTAAATAAAAAATTATTTATAGTAATTGCGTACTTTAAATATGAAAAGAAGTGTATTATACTTTATAAGCGAATTTATGATATAAAGTGCTGTCACGGAAATTTTATGAAGAAACCGTAGCTGGTGCGGTATGCGAATGAAAATAATCGCGTACGTTTATCTAAAAAAATAATTGATTCGCTACGAACTTCGAAATCAGACTTGAACAGATAAATCTATAATATTTCTTCAGAATGTTCTATTCATTTTCACAATATATTACACCTTTTTTAATACCTCTTACTTTATTTTTACACGCTTAGTTGCTTAAAATAATGTCTGCAAAACACTGACATCATTGAGGGCGGGGCATCAATTTTACACAACAGTTTCTCCTCTCCTTCTGTTAATCTCTCTAGTGATAAAGTATATTCTCTGTCGAAAACACCTACAATATGATAACAATTTGTTTAGTTTTAACATTAATTCATAATAATTAAAGAACAATAAAATTTGTATGGTTTTCGAATTTTTTTGATTAAAAAATGTAGTCACTAAGATAATGAGATTTTCCTGGTGAAAATGACTCTAAACACAGCATAAATTGAACTATATAGTCCGATTGAGACTGCTTAAACTCATATTTATCAGGAAGGTCTTGCCAGTTTGTTAGAAATAATCTCAACAACGTGAAATAAAAATTGTAGAAATTCTATTTTTCGAATATTGATTTGACAACTTTGTTGCCCGCCACCGACTAACGATGAAAAGTAAACCGACTAGTGTGGTGTACTACAAAGTAGGAGATGGGGAAAATCGAGCTTTGCCCGGGTCGAGATAACTCTTTCACGATTGAAAAATTGTAGCCTACTGACGGACATTACTATACAGGGTGTCCCACCTAACTCTGCCACCCTTAATTAATCTCTGATTTGTCACGGTACAAAAACATGGTTCAGGAGAAAGTTAGTGTATTCTAGAGGGGAAATTAGGCTATGAGATTGAAGGTCATCTTAAGGTCATATCTTCTGAGATTTTTCTAATGGTAACGTTTTTTTAAATGGAATGCCTTATTTTTTTGTATGCCATTATAAAGAGGAGATCAAAACGTAATCTAACAATGTGTCACTCTATGGAGAGACAACACTTCGAACATACACTACAATAATAAATAATGCGATTGTGGCGTTGATTTTGTTTCTACAATTCATTTTCTGTAAGCTTCCACCTCAACCAGTTAGGTGCAAATATTTCAGCCCAAGGTCATTTCAAGGTCATGGTGTGATACATTCTTGGATACGTTTGGACCTCGTTTTTGTAATGGAAAACAAAAAAATAGGGCATTCCATTTAAAAAAACGTTACCATTAGAGAAATCTCAGAAGATATGACCTTCAGATGATCTTCAATCTCATAGCCAAATTTCCCCCCTAAAATACACTAACTTTCTTCCGAACCATTTTTTTGTACCGTGACAAATAAGAGAATAATTAAGGGTGGCAGAGTTAGGTGGGACACCCTGTATATTGATATTTATGTTAATAACATAATACATACCTTGATCAATATTCCCTCTACCCAAAACGGTAAATGCCAAAAACAAGATATCACGATATATAGAAAATAGAGGTTGGTCAGGTGCTTGATTTCTGCTTCTTTCTAAGGCCACTCTTTTAATAGGTTCAGCTAAATCATTTCGACGAACGTTCGTAATCACTAACTGCATTAACCTATAAGGAACACAAAACCAAACAATATTCATATGATAAGGTAATTCATACAATTTATAAAAGGAAAAACATTCAACATTATATCTGATAAAAACACTTTAGACGATCACAGTAGGATTACGTCTCCAATGAAATCATCGTTTCTTGATTACGTTCGAAGTTGAGCTGACTGTTACGCATAATAATGTAAAACCAGAGGTTTACATATTTCAGTAGACAATAATTGACATTTTAAATTAAATAATTTACAGATATAACATGAACTCTCATTAGCAAATCTGAATATTGTATCGTTCTACAACAATTTATAGAATTCTTTATATTTACGTTTTATCCTCTGCAACATTGAGCTTCCATTGAAGGTACATAGGTAAACGATCCATATACAGTCTCTCGTTGTCCCACATGGTTCTGACACCTACTGCACCATAGTTTATTTGTTCATGTTTCTTATCCTTATTCAACCATAGATCTGGCAGATGACTTGTCAAATTAATTCTTTCGAAGTACCATATGAGATTCCAATACACTATTGGGTGTTCCTCAATGAATTTATGCTTCGTAAGACATGTATCACCTTCTTGACTTAAGACACTTTCTAATTCCTTTCTTAGCACTAGAGGGTTCAAATATGGCACTGTGGTAGGTTCTAATAACTCCTTTGGTTTATCCAGAAGTTCAACTAGTGCTCCCATTAGAGGATCGTTCTTCCGTTCGTTTTCTTCGCATCTTTAAAAATTGTACATACATGTTAAAAGTGCACAATGCACATATAAGTATGTGTACAGAAATTGTATGCAGAATGGGTTACTAAAAACAGAACGGCTGACTATCTCTGCTGAATTATATACTATTATATAATACGCAAAAATGTAAAAAAAAAACGTATCCTTATTTAAAAACATCGTTTTAAATATTTAATTTAAAAAAAAAGTAGCAATGTATTCTTCTGCAAATTTCAAGTTTCATTGTTAAGAATACTTCCAAATTATATTAAGTTTTTACCCCTACGATCTGATGATGCCAATGCACTATACAGAGTGTAACAAAAATGTTAGCCGAGGCTTTGTTAATGAGATATTAACGAAAAACGCCGACCAATCAGAGCGCGAGTCTGCCAGCCGAGTTCCCGCGGTAACATTGGCTACCAATCGCAGCGCGTAGCCAACGTTACCGCGGGATCTCGGCTGGCAGACTTGCACTCTGATTGGTTGGGCTTTATCGTTAATATCTCGTTAACAAAGCCTCGGGTAATATTGTTGGTAAAGAAAAACTTGTTTCAAATCACCTCACGAGTCTTCCATTTCCGGAACCTCCAACATTTTTGTTACACCCTGTATAATAGTTCGAAGCAGTTATATCTGGAACCGTTTCAACCCCTACGACCGACTAGGTATACGAACGAACATGTGACAAGTAACGAAACACTAACAAACGTTACCCTTAGTTACCTGTAATCTAATATCGTAATAGTAAGTAGAGGTACTGTCGCTTTGTCGCAGTACTGACAGACCGTATTTAAGTTTGAGTCCTCTGGTTGCCAACCAGCCATTATTTCTTCATCGTAAAGTATGGAGGCGCAATGATGACATCGGCTAGCGCTAGAGAGTACTAGTTCAACTGCAATTCGTTCGTCTAATTCTCTTGATCCTTTCGGATACAAACACTCCGCCAAATCGTAGAGAGTATAAGGATCTATGTTACCATCGCCTACATTAACAAAATCGTGTGTCGTTGAATTAGCAAGTACTACATTTCAGATATTTTATACAGAATGACAGAAAATGAACTGTTCAACCATCACTCGTATGTTTTATTCAGTGAACATTTATCGAAAAATTATAAAATATTAAACACGAAGGAATAGTTTCTCGAATTATTAAGATATATTAGTGCCTCTAACTATATTGCCATGGTCGGGATTTCAGAAGGAATAGTTTCTCGAATTATTAAGATATATTAGTGCCTCTAACTATATTGCCATGGTCGGGGCTGTAGGGGAGTAAAACGGCAATGAGTTCAGAGCCCCCTTCATGGTAAATTCTATCGTCATAGCCTCGGCCTCAGCGCCTGTGCAAAAGTTGGATGGTTCTGGTACGCCGGCGTACGCAACGTGGTGGGAGAGCGAATTTGTGTGCTCGACAGTAGGTGTGAAGGAGAAGTGCCTCGCGAAGCAATATGTTTAGTGGCAATATAGTTTGAGTCCACTGTACTTAACACTGTTATATGTTCAGTATTTGTTGATGAATATTTTTGTTATAACCTTTCAATACAAGATTTTTACACCAATGTTTACGTAATATTTTTATTTATGTGTAACCACAATATTGTGACGATATCAGATTATTTAACTATTAAATATACTGCATATCTTGTATTGGGTCGTTGCGCATAAAATTGGCAATTTTACTGATAAGTATATTGAAGCTTACTTTTAATTTACATAGTTCCTTTCTTTGTTGAAAAATTACACAGTGTACTCTACTCGTTTCAAGGTACTATCTAACATAACAATAAAATCAATTGTGTTGAACACTAAAATTAATGAAGGAACACTTGCATTACAGATTTTGTGCTTCAAAACAACGCGGGCAGTAAAAAATGGACGCATGAGCCAAATTCATAAGTAAACTTTATAAAAATATATGTAGGTTTATACTAAAAAATACTATTTAGCGATTCCAACATTCGGCGGAAAGATAGCAGCTAAAAGTAGCTTTGGAGGGTCCTTCTTATATTCAGTATAATAATTACATAATGAGTATAACATGAATGTAACATAACCTAATATGTATATTTATGAATACGTATCACTAAAATTAGGCATAAACTGTACGAACCAGACATTCTAGCGGCTTCGTTTCGATCCTGTACAGATCCATCTGTCATAGAATCTAGCGACTCATGTGATGCTCCATGCATCATCTTGTATTCCCGCTCTTTAATTTTTACGGGTGTACTAGTCGCAGAAATAGCTTCTTTAATTTCATCAAATTTTTTTACCACCGTCGTGGCAGCCGATTTTAAACTATTTAAGCCACCGAGTATTAGCTCATTCGACTTCTTCCCTGTCAAACTAGTGGTGCTGAAAACAAAAATTTCTATAAAATTGAGAAATAACGTAACAGGCTATTGGGCTTCCCTTTAACTTCCTAAGGTGATAAGGGAATAATCTATGAGAATGAGCAATAATATAGAAGTTCCAATAAGGAATTTTCTTGAAACCATTTATGGGTCATTTCACGTGAAATCGGAGACCTTTTGGAGCACCATTCCGGATTTTGTTCCAATTTAGATATGTTGTAGTCTTTAGCGATATATAAACGTATCTGGAAGGAATTTTGAAAATTTTTAAAATTGTTGATTTTACTGCTGTTTGAAATTTGGGGTCAAGCTTTTTTCAATAAATCATAACTATTGAACTAACAAACTGATCGAAATGAGCTTTGCAGGTACTTATAGTGGAGACAAGAGAAGTAAATATAAATTATTTCAGTTGAAAAAAAATATTTTTGAACCGTCTATTTTGCAATTGTTTTAAATAAACGCCCTGTTTTTATACCGGGGAACTATTTAAACATTTGAAAAAAAACTTGCCTGAAAAATTTGCCCTGTTTATGGACATATGTTGAAAAATATGGACACTTTAAAATTAGCCATATGAAAATTGATTGGAGTTAACGCCGTATCGGCCGTATCGGCTAGCCTAGTACCACATGGCTTGGCCGGTAGAGCCGATGTAATTCGATGCAACGTTCACTTCAATTAATCTTCATACGGCCAATTTTAAAGTGTCCATATTTTTGAACATATGCCCAAATTTTTAAATAGTGCCCCGCTATTATAACATTGCATTTCTTTTAAACAATTGCAAAATAAATGGTTAAAAAATATCTTTTGGTTTATACTTTATTTGGTATTATACTTTATTTATATGTCTCTATCATTAACATCCACAAAGCCCATTTTAATCGGTTTGTTAGTTCAATATTTATGATTTATTGAAAAAAGGTTGACCCTAAATTTTAAACAGCTGTAAAATCTACAATTTAAAAAATTTTCAAGAATCCTTCGAGATACTTTTATATGTCGATAATTAGTACACATATCCAAATTGGAACAAAATTCGAAATGGTGCTCCAAAAGGCGTCAGATTTCGCGTGGAATGATGCTTATCCATGATTGATAAAGCTGCGTATAGACTATGTAGCATAACATGTTATAACTTGTATATAATATGTATATAACTTGTTATAACATGTAAAACTTGTTAACAAAAAGAAAGAAAAATGTTGTATAACGTGATGTTACATAACATTTTTCGTGTTATATAGCAAGTTATGTTATCCTTCTAGTATGTTGCCATTGTTAAGAATGAGACGCGAAATATTATACAAACTTGTTACAGAGTTGTCTGGAAGGTATAGTCTTGTAACAAGTTACAAAAACATGTTGTATAGCAAGGTTATACAACAATTTGTTGTATAACACTGTTGTGCTATATAGTGTAGACGCAGTTTAAGAATGTATAAATTCATCGTGAAAAGGAGTTGTGTACGGAGTTTCAATATTTTATCTTGCGTACAACACACGATTTAGTGTATTTTTATAAAATAGAAATTGATTACTACTTCGTTTCATATTAAATGCAATATAAAGTCTATAAATTAGCTAAATAAATTCCGGTTTTCAATTTTTAATTAACCCTTATGTATCGTTCCAATAAGGGTTACGTTATAACTGTTAGGGTCATACCAACCCGAGTCTAGAATTGAATTAAATAAGTATACAGATTTATAATTTCAATGAATTAAAATAAATATCAGCTAGAATATTAATATTTTTTTATTCATACTTAATTACATACAGGGTATCGTGTAACTGGTGGTACAACCGAGTAGGGGGTGATTCTACGTGGAAAAATAAGTCCAAAATATAAAATATAATTTATTCGTTTAAGACAGCATTTTGAGAAAATCGACTTAGGAGATCTGCTGAATACACGTGAAATTGAATAGGATTTGGCTGGCGCGTCTATTCATTGCATTCCATTTCTACCTACCACAACGAATACGCGTTTCAGATTAATTTTGAAAGTTGATTTTTTCGACAACGACGTATTATCCCGCTAACTGCATTTGTCTACTACAGTAGACGCCTACTTCATCACTTTAGTGACAATATCTGGAACATTTCTATCCCATCAGCAGTACAAAACTTCCTTAAATGACATCCAAACATTATAAAAACGGTGTTATTGTGACTACTAGTTCGTTATCTATCGTAAGCAAACACATTGTTTAAGAAAAAAAAATTTTTAATGATACCAAAATGATGCAGTGAGCTGATAAATGAACAAATTTTATTCTATATTTTCGATTTATTTTTTCATGTAGGATCACCACTTTATTATCAAAGAAATAAACATGAATTTAATTTAAACAATTCGTAACTATATTATGATAGAATAATTTTAACAAATGAAAGATAAGGGGGATAACCAAGGAATCTGATATACTTTATTGAGAAAATCAATTTTTAATATTTTAGTCCTCCACTGTTTCTAACTAGTACACCAAATCTGTAACGTTACATTATGTGGCCTTTTCCACTTTAAAACCCTTCGTGCATTAATGCTCGAAGCACAGACGAGGTATAAGAATAGACCTTTCATCTTATGGGAGTTGGTGGCCCACCTAAACTGTAGTATCGACACCTTAAAAAGTGTATGATTTTAGCGACCTCTACGTTTTGAGAACAGTGAATCTGTGGTGGGTAGTAACACTAAAATTGAAATGCGGTACGTAACCCCAGAAAAGTGGGCCGCAAAAATACATTGGATGAAATGTCTACACCTATATCTCATCTGTGCTCGAAGCCTTCGAATAAAAAATGAAAAGTCCCTGCTGCTTCACCAACAGCATGATATTTTAGTTGTATCTGACTGCAAGATTGAATACATTACTAATAAAAGCAGTTTGAAAATGAATGAAACTTCAACATCGTTTTTCAAGAGAACGGTTGAGTTCCGACTCATGGTTCTTTTCAGACTTTTTACTATCGCTATGAGTAGAATATAAGGCAACGATAACAAAATTTGACGCCTGTATATGCTCCAATAAACACGGGGAATCAAAAATAATCTCAAGAAAGTCATGATTGTATAAAAGAATTATTACTTTAGTATTTGCATATTTTTCAGTACGTTAGTCGGTTCAGATCGTAATTCTGTATAAAAAAATGTATTAACGCATTCGTATAAAAGAAACATTACTTCAAAAAGATATTGGCATTTCAATTATTCAAGGTGATATACGCCCGCACGAACAGTATAGAGTGCGTTCATTCCTAATTACGTAATCTAACAAAAATATATAACTCAAAATTAAAAAACCAAACATGTCTTTCGTATCTCTGAAAATAATAGTGTTAAAAAAATTCGCCATGGTCTGTTAATTACAGTGGACTCTAACTATATTGCCACTGAACATATTGCTACGCGAGGCATTTTTCCCTTTACACGTACTTTCTAACACACAAATTCGCTCTCTCACCACGTTGCACACTAGCACATCGGCTATGACGGTAGAACTTAGCATAGAGGGGGTCTGAACTCATTGCCATTTTACTCCCCTACAGTCCCAACCATGGCAATATATGTAGTTAGAGTCCACTGTAGTGCCCTCGTGGCATTCAGAAATGATGGACTGTACACTGTTCGCGCGGACACCCTGTATGTAAGAAATGTCACTGTGAAAACTCCCAAAGCAATAATAAACGAAACTACATGAAATATTGATTGGCATGATTTAAAATTAACTTCGTTACAAATAGTCCAATTTACATGATATTTGGTATAATTTTAATTGGGAGAACGCCAAGAAACTATAGGTATCACTTCCGTATCGATATGGGGTCATTCCACTCGAAGTCGGATGATACTTTTTTAAGTAACATCTCGGATTTTGTTCATATTTGGATACCTAGTCATTAATGATAGTATACAGGGTGTTCGACCACTAGTGGGACAAAATTTAAGGGGTCATTCTTGAGGGCAAAATAAGACTGAAATCAAGGGTAACGAAGTTGCGACAAATGCTTCATTTGTCAGTTATAAGCGTTTAAAATTTGTCCCAAATGATGGCAATCCGCACGCCACGGACTGTCAGCAGGGCAGAACTATTCGCTGGTGAGTACGCCCCCCTTAAGGTTACCTGCTGTCTTACCGTCTGTTCTAAGAATGTAAGCATGTATAACAAATGCAACAGCTACTGGATAGCTAATTTATACATAGTTAGCCAGGATTGTATTGACTATTGCATGTATGTTGCGCGAAAATACAGCCGCTATAATCTATTCGTTGTTACTAAAAAAAGTATATTAAATAGCCGCACAACTTTAAATTGCCAATGCATACTGTCCTTAATGTAAATAAACAACTGGCTAATAAACTAGGTTAATACATATAGCTACATGTAGCTACAGACTACCAGATACCACATGACGCCTTAAAGACGGCTTAAAGACGCCTTAGACCTAAACTAGCCGTAAAAAAGGCGTCTTTAAGATGTCATGTGCTATATGGGATGTGACATATAAAAATAAAAAGATCAATAGTCATGTAATAAATACGATTAAAAACAAGTGAAAATATAAATTAAGAAAATTTGACTTACCCAAAACTCAGTTTCAAACTAGAACCTAAACTCGACAAACTTGATGTAACGCTATCCTTTTGAGACCAAAGGCTGCTTAATTCTATTCGTTCTCTTTCTTTGTCTTGTTCGCCTTGCTGCGCCACAGAATGGGGCATTGTTTCACTTCTCTGTAAGTGACCACTAATTGGTACTCCAGTTTCATCTACGGTTTGATGAAATGTTGCACTACGGGGCAAAACGTTGCTGGAAAAAGTAATGGGATAAATGAACAAGGATGTTGATGATGCGGTGCACATATCGATCATGAATATTGTTTCAATATTGTACATAGTCTTGCCATAAATTCTGTCGCTCACAAAAAGGCGCTGAATTAACAGTGTACATGGAACAAATGGGAAAAAATCTATTATATTTGGTGTTTATTAACTAAACGATATAAAAAATACATGAACTATTCAAAATGTCGACCCTTTGCCTTTGTATACTTCTTCAAACGATCCGGCCACTCGTCTATCTATCGCCGCACGCACCACTTCTTGCGATATCGAGGTTGCTGTCTTCACCAAATCTGCCTTTAACATCTCGATATTTCGATAAGGCTTACAACAAACCTTGTCCTCTAAAACATTCTACAGTCGGTAGTCCAAAGGATTGAGATCTGGACTTCCTGAGGACCAATCTTCGGCAGCGATAAATTCAGGCAAATTGGCTAAATCCAGCGTTGTGTGCCGACGCTGAGTCATGCTGGAATACCCACTGCTTTCCTGCGAATTCTCGTGGGGCCGCACATCGATTTATCGGTCGTTGTGACACGGGTTTGGCAACTGCGAGGTACCCGAGGCTATCAGTGATTATTGGCACCTAGTCTCCCGGGAGAGGGGGTTTCTGTACTCCCTCCAAAGCCACGAGCCTGGCTATTGAACTGCCAGGCCTTCACAGAGACCTAAGGGTCTAGGGGTAGCGTTATCCGGGAGGCTTAATCCCGATGCTTCCACCCGTTCCAACTTTTTTAGGCCCGGGCCACATGGAGGGCTCGAGTGTACTTGTCAGAGGCCGGAGAGTCACTAGGATGGTTCCATTCCTACCTAAGTTTTTAGAGCTATGTATGGAGTTAGACCTTCGTCTTTTAAGGTGAGTAAGCTCACTCATACCTTCACCCACAGGCCGAGCCTGTACAAATGGGGGTTTCATCGTCGTACATCCTCCAAACGATAGAGAACTATTTCAACTCCTACACTAGGCCATACCCAGGGGTGTCGCACATACGTGGACACGTGTGGGAAGTGGCGATCACCGGTCATCCCTCCCGAGCTATCTGGCCAGTGTCAAGCATGCGAGATAACTATGGTCTGTTCCACTAAAGAAGAGCTCTGAGGGGTTTCCCTTCCTCGGCGCGTGGCCTGGTGGGGATACAATGCGTGCTGCGTATTTCGTGCGACGTTGTCACGGTCCCAATGACACTGCGTGTCTTTCCATCCGCTCTGTGCTCGAGAGAAGATATCTCGATATTTTAGTACTTTTAAGGAATTGAAAATCTCAACTGGAGTTTTGTTGCATTTGTAGAACGCGACCATAGCAATACGGTTCTTTTTCATAACCTACTCCATGTTTATTACGCGACGAATCGAACCAAACTGATGTGTTTACAATGTAGTTCCGAACATACTGAAACTACGTTAACACGTTGAGTGCCACGCGATTTTATAAGGAAATCGCCGTCAGGCCACGCGCGCTGCTTAGAAGCATATATCGTGGTAAGTTGTGTCAGTCAGTGGTGACTGACGCGGCCTGAACGGGAAGTTCAGTGTCAGTCATCGATGACTGACGTGGCACTCAACGTGTTAAAGATACAAATGAGTAAATGACGCGTCAAAATATTATAATCGACCCTGTAAAGTAGGGACAGAATTTATGGTACCACTGTGTAAATGTACGAGTGTGTTTTGTAGAAACATCATACTTCTTATATGTATATTTACATTGTAATGAAAGAGTAATATTTCTGTACCGAAGATAAAAAGTAATATCATACTTTCATAGAATTTCAAACAAAAAAATTTACCTTCGAAACAAAAGTGGTCCTCCCGGTCGGTCTTCAATGTTATTAAAGACAGTCAAAGTACACGTTGAGCAATTTGAATCGTTTTCTTCCGAAGGTGAAACAATTGGTGTTTCGTCGTTAATTAAAGCGCCCAGCGGATCGTTTTCTGTGACTGGCGTGCGTACAGGACTTTTCAACGGTGACTCCAAGTTCCGAATCAACCTGAAGTAGAAAAAATATAAAACTAATGCAGCATCTCCTTTTATACAGTGTGACAAAGAAATATATTATTTAAAATAATTAGTTATAGAGTATAAATACGAGAAAGAAAGATGTCACATTTAATTATACTTTAATTATGAAGTTACCTTTGACTAAGAGGTAAATCGTTGAGTTCTTCCGTTTGCATAGCATTTAATGCTGCAGTATCTTTCACAATACTATTTTGGCGTGGAAGTTTTTTTATTTCAAACGGTCCGTATTCCGGTAGATCCGATGTGGAACTTCCTTTTGTAGCTACGAGTAAAATAGAATAACACAATAAGGCTGCTTAGTAGAATAAAACGTTGAAACAGATTAATTAATACTTACAATCACTATGCGCAGCTTCTGTGTCTTGAGAATGAGAACTGTCAAGACTAGATCTAGAAAATGCATGTTCCATATTCGTAGTTTTACCATCGACTGTTAATAAATCTGCATTTGAACTCAATCTTCTTCTAGCGCTGCGTTTACCAGCTCTTTTAAATAGTGCAGCTCCAACTATAGCATTTCTTAATTTATTCCACATTAATTGGCTCGAATTAGTCATATCGGATGGCCACGTTGCTTCAAGCACAGCCTGTAGATTTTATTAGTAACTTATTTCAAACTTAATGAAATCTACGTATAACTGAAAAAGATATTAATAAGAGCAACAGACCTTATTATAAAATCCGTACGTGAGAGCATTCGGTTGAACACCGCTACGTTTCATATGAAATAATAATTTTACAGCTAAAACAGGTTGTCCGTAAACACCGCAAAGTTGCATCATAGCTCTATAACAAACCTAAAACCAATACCGTTACTGCTTAAATTTATCAATAAGTTATTCGAATAAACGTATAAAAAGAATGCAGCCTATAAACATATTACATAATAAATCTTATTAATTTTCAACAGCAAACAAAAATGTATAAGAAAAAAATTCATCGTGTTTGGTATTCATTTCCTCAAAATCCAGTAACGCATATACAGTATCAGAACTCATACGTCAAACTCTCGGAAGCCAAACTAATTAAACCCAATTTCGATCAATCATCTAAGTTTAACATTTTCAATTAGTTCATCGTTATGTATTTTCAATATTTTAATATTAAACTTACGTTGCAACTAATTCACTACATAACACCAAAATTTAGTATACATGTTAGAAACTTTGTATTGATGCTTCGATTTTTAAGTGAGATCTGTATTCCTCAGAGATTCTGGGGTAAGTGCCGTGCGGTCCCTCACAGTCCTCTTACCAAAAGGCATCGCTGCCTTCCTCACTCCGTGGCCAGATTCTCTAGGAACAATGTCCTTATTTTTAAGGCAATGCAACGTCGAGCTGCTTGCCATATCTAACTTTCACTCATCTGTTTCACATAAACAACCCTCTTCGTCGCCGATAGCCGAAGGACCCAGCGTGGCCTTCCGCCACCAAACGACGCCAGGTCTGTTTAGTCTCAAGCACCCTCTTCCATAACCGCATGCATTCTAGAAACCCCAGTCCATAAATTCTCCAACGGTCAATGAGCGACAGGCCGTCCGCCTTCGACTCCGCTTAAAACTCGTTGACGCTAACATACAGATGTCCCAGTTGAAAGAGACCGCCTAAATATCTCAATAATTTGTTCAATGTTTAATTTTTGTTTTTGTAACACCCTGTATATTGTGTCATTTCTACAATTTGTTTCTCGAGAATACGATTTATTCCATATGTAATTTCATCGATTAAAAAAATAAGTATCATTGCAAGTACGAATAAAACAAGGTTTAACGTTGCACACATTAGTACGTATTGTTTCATTTTCGGATCTCTTTTGCTTGCGCCATTCTTTTCCCATATTCTACGAAAATCGAAATCTAGCCTTGAACCGTATTCCATTATTCTGATGTGCAGAATTATAATGGGGGATATGTGACAACAGTGTAACAAAACTCTTAATCGGTACGGTCCAGCAACAATGCCTTCGCGTAACCGGAAAATAGTTGGCGCTGAATGTTAACGTATCGTAACAATTTATATCTTAAAAAATTGCTCCGGATTTGCACTTTCCGAATCTGAAATTGCTGCCACAGCACCGTTTATATTTAACAAGATACTGCAATATTTCTGGATTTCTGACCCTTGTCAGCCACGAAGGCTGCAATAAATGAGCGCCTACTGTATATGACTTCATAATATTCCTTAACAATTTATATTTTAAAAACTTGCTCCAGATTTGCTGTTTCTAAATCTAAAATTGCTCCCATCGCAACGTTTATATTTAATGAGATATTCGCAAAATAAAAAGCAAACAGTTGTTGTTTACAAAATAGGTAGTAAATGGCATTTTTACAGAAAGATCATAATACCAAAAAATTGCGCCTGATCTGTTTTATAATATTGAATGGTCAGATATCTTAATAACAACTTATTAACAAGGAGCGATTGAAATAATGTTGTTGAATACATGTGACGTAGTAGGTTATGACGTCATACATGACAATTGTGTTGGTACCCTGGCTTCCGTTAGGGGAAAAAGTGGCATTAGAGGAAGGACGTACTACCACTTGGTAAATATAATTCAAGTACTGAATTATATTAAATAAGGTTAAAATGAATGTTAATTCACTTCAAGAGGTAGGAGCATAGTAGGAGGTACTTCCCATTGTCACTTTTTCCCCTAGCGGAGGCCGAGTTTGCTCGCGAGGGTACACCCACGAGCAAAGTCGGCTTCTGTTGGGAGAAAAGCAGCGTAGGGGAAGGACCCCCCACCACTAGACCACAGAGTTACTGAAACTTATGCCACACTTACATGAAAGAACCACATTCAGTTTAACATTTATTTCAGTACTCGACAAGCAACCAAATTTGCGCGTTTGAACGTTTGAGGGTAAAAGCGATGTATTTTATTGTCAGTGAAATCAGTAATAAGCACAATTAGTCAACAGTCTGTCAACAGCCACCGTGTATCGGGCATTGTTCAGTGGCGCCATCGTCGCCCATTGAACGATTAGCGAAACAATCTCCCTCATTATAGCAGCAACGCAGAGAAGCCGACTGCTCGACTGCGCGGAAACCATCGCATAAGTCTGTCCTTTTGGCACTTGTGGTTGTCCTCTTTTACAGCACATCCTCGTTTTGACGATATTTCAAGGGTCCCAGTTTTCGGTCGGCACGATGAAAATGGCGGTAAATGGGAAAATACATGAACCGTATATCGAATTATTCATTGAGCTAATATCCATGAAAATAATCCGCACATACATGTGCACCACAGAAGTTCGCAAAAAGTGTCCACACACACTGAGCGATTGTCCCGTCCGCGAAAAATGTCTATACACACTGCGCGATTGTTCCGACCGCGAAAAATGTTCACACACTGCGTGATTAATTACACCCGTGAGCGGTTGCTCCGTTGGGTTTAACACTCTACAGGTTACACAAAACTAACACTCAAAATAATTAATTTAAAACTATTTAACACTAATTTTTACCCTACACTAATTAATTTATAACAATTATTTATACTAATTTTTAACACGCTATAATTAATAAAACCTACAATATTTAATAAAATCTACAATATTTAATAAAACTTGCAATAATTAATAAAATCTACAATATTCAATAAAACCTACAATAATTAATGAAATCTACAATACTTAATAGAACCTACAATAATTAATAAAACCTACAATAATTATTTTGCACTATTTATAACGACGACATACGCGACACTACTAAATAATCACTACGTAATCGCTAAATAAACTAAAACTTAGTGATCCATACATGAACTCTATTTGCTCGTGGAATGCAAAGGGCACCGTTCGGAAAGGACAACTGATATTGTTTAACTGATCCTCCCTCGTTTACCTCGTTAGGATCGATGTGGCCAATAGGTCGATCCCCACTCTTTCATAGTCAATACTGTTTGGGAAGGAAAAGCTGCATGGGAAAGTGTCTTGGAGGTCGCGTTTCGCTTCGTATATTCTTAAAGCAACATCTGTATTTTTTTCTCATACACCAGTCAGAGCCACTTGGCCACGATGCCGAGGGTGTGCGAGTCTGGATATTATAAAACTGTCTCTTGTCTTCTGCAGTGCGACCACCCGCGGATTGCCTGCAACGTGTTGCTGCCTTCGATGAAGACCTTGCCCATTGTGTTTTCGGCCGTCCCTCTTGACATTAACTTGTAAAAAGAACTTTCAACGCCGAATTCAAACTCCATGTTAGAAATGGTTCATATTAGACAGAATGTATGTGTTTAACAATTTTCTTTATTTTATTTTATGTAGTTTCTTTATGCATCGTAGTGCAGGTGCGGCAAATTTCATCTTAGTTTCATTCTAATATCATTATACGTTTTGTATGATCCATGTTAATTGCATATTATTTTTTTGCGGATACAAGAACCTCAAACACTTGAAGTAAGATCACAGTGGTAATAAAATGTGCAATGCACATAAAACATACAGTAAATCAATATTCAATATTTCAGGAATAAAGATATTATCCTAAGACACTTTCCCATGCAACTCTTCCTTCCCAAAAAGTATTGAACATGAAAGAGTGGGGATCGACCTATTGGCCACATCGATCCTAACGAGGGAGGATCAGTTCAACAATATAAGTTTTAGTTTATTTAGCGATTACGTAGTGATTATTTAGTAGTATCGCGTATGTCGTCGTTATAAATAGTGCAAAATAATTATTGTAGATTTGATTAATTATTGCAGGTTTTATTAAATATTGTAGATTTTATTAATTATTGCAGGCTTTAGTAAATATTGTAGGTTTTATTAATTTTTGCAGGTTTTAATAAATATTGTAGGTTTTATTAATTATAGCGTGTTAAAAATTAGTATAAATAATTGTTATAAATTAATTAGTGTAGGTTAAACATTAGTGTTAAATAGTTATAAATTAATTATTTTGAGTATTAATTTTGTATAACGTGTAGAGTGTTAAATCCAACGGAGGAACCGCTCGCGGGTCTAATTAATCGCGTAGTGTGTGAACATTTTTCGCGGTTGGGACAATCGCGCAATGTGTGTGGACACTTTTTGTGGACTTCTGTGGTGTACGTGTATGAACGGATTAATTTCATGGATACTCGTGGGCAGGACAATTATACGTGACAACTATAGGGGGCATTAACACTCTTTACTCGATAATATTCGTAAGAAGATATTTACATTTCTTGCGAATTTTACGAGTAATCAGAGTTAATGCGATACAGGTGAATTCGACTCAAATACCGTGGGCACGAGTTATCGACATCTTCTACGGGGTAAGTAGACAGCTGTTCTACCGACTTTTCCTGCACGTCGTTGAGTCTTTAAAGTGACTGTACGCCCCTGACGAGCCATAGTCCGCTGATACTTCGTGCGCGTGGATTGCCATCATTTGGGTCAATTTTTAAACGCTTGTAAGTAACAAACGAAGCATTTTTCGCAATTTCGTTATTCTTGATTTTCGTCTTATCTTGCCTCAAAGAATCACCCCTTAAATTTTTTCCCACTAGTTGTCGAACACCCTGTATATAGACGCATCACATAATTGTTGTCCCGTGGTGGAGTGAGCGCGGGTGATTGAGGCTTCTTTATTGCAACACTCCTGGAATTCTGGCCCTCTATAACCCCGAAGGCTACAATAAACGAGCGCCTACCATATGACATAATACCTAACCTCTATGTAGCAACAATATTTCGTTTACTCCTCGTTAATAAGTTGTTATTGAGATATTTGACCTTTGATTATTATAAAACAGATGAGGAGCAATTTTGTGGTGCCATAATATTTGTGTAAAAATGCCA